TTGGCATAAAAAAATATTTATATTTTGTCTTTAAATGTTAACATGATTATTTTAATTTGAAAAGGACCTTAAAATATCTACATAAGCAATAGTTAATGAATAGTTATCCATATCATCTAAAATTTAATAAAACAACCAAAAAAGGACCAAATCTTTAAATTTTAAAGACCAAAATAAAAAAATTTTAAATTTTAGAACCAAGTTAAAACTCATAGAATAATTAAAGAATTAAATTAGGGGTTTAACCTATTGACTTAAGTCTGTTTAGCTTTTTAAATATGATCCTGAAGAATGCTGCGCAATCTATAGAGGCCGCCGTACAAAGCATCTGTCTGGGAAAGTACCAAGAGATTTGTTTAGGCAGTTTAGCTTTTTGGTTATTTGATTAAATTTATTTTGTTTTGGTGGGGGGGCCGGGGTGGGGGGGTGTTTAATTAAAAAATTGTAAATTAAATTTTAGAACCATAGAACAAGTTGAAAAGCTGATTTTTTTTTTCTATTTTTATCTTCCTGACTTGGGTTTTTTATTGCCCGCGTGTAAAAAGCTTGTGGTAGTGTTTTTTCTTTGTGTGATGACTTAAGTCGTGCAATGGAGAAAGAATGTGGAAAAATTGTTAATTTTATATTTTTTTATTTAAAAGTATTAATTTTTAATTTTTTATATTAAAAAATTAATTAAATAATAATATTGATATGATAAATAATTTTTTTTAAATTAATATTTTTACTTACACTTTTCCTCTCATGATGTAATGCATGAATTAGAAGTTGTGAGTTTTTAAATTTAATAATTTATGTGTACGAATGAAAATGATTTGTTAGTTTTAAAAAGGTTAACTACTTTCCACCGCACAGAAAAAAAATTTTAAAAAAAAAGGTTAACTACATTTTTAATTCGAAATTAATGCATACCTTTCCCAGCATCAAATGTGGTCCACATGTTGGACATACCATAATATTTGCCAAGAAGAGACTAAACCATGTGGGAGATGGAAAAGAGAAAGGAGATGAAAAGACAATAAATAAGAGAATCAAAGAAGAAAGAAAATGAAACGACTATATATAAATTATAATGCCCTAAATTTATTCTTCAACAAGCGGCCATTGCCACGTCCTTATATTTTAACTTGTGCTCGTTTAATTTATATTTTAAAAATATAAATTAAGAATATAATAAATATTTTTTTATAATTAATTTACATAAAAAATTTAAAAATTAATATATATTTTAGTATTTTTTACATGTAAATTATTTTAATTTATTAATTGATTAAATCAAAATTAATATTTACATTTTAAATAAAAATTAATTAAAAATATATTTATTATATTTTTAATTTATATCCCAAAGCACATGATAAAAAAAAACTCATTAAGTAAAAGGGATCATTTACCTGCCTAACCCTTTTGATGATTGCCCAAGTGGGCTTCGTTAAATGGGAATCCGTCTCTCTTTTTCCTTTTTGTATGTAATTATAAGGATGAATGCAGACGTAAGTGAATAATTACTGTAAAATCTTTCGCTTAGATATTTTATGGATTTGTTGGTTGGTGGGGTTTTTGTGGGTTAGATTCATTGTTCCTGGAATTTTTGGTGACACTACCTTTACACTGCTTGTGATAAATCTCTCTTTCGATTTCATCTTTGAAATTGAAAGGCCGAAAAAAGAAGGGTCATTTCAGTGACGCTTGCGTAATGTATCTGTAGTTGAAAAAGAACTTCAAAGTATTCTTGGGCTCGGATATTCACTTTAATCAACTTGCAAAGCTCGAGGTGGATTTTTGGGATAAACACTCTAATGCCTAAATCAGCAATAATCAGAGTTATTAGATATGAGTCAAGAATTGAACTTGAGTTCGGTTTTAATTACCTTTTGGAGAGAACCCTTGTGGATATTTATAGCCTTCAAATGAGGCATCCACATGTTGCTCTTCATGGAAAATCAAGATTGTATGTGTCAATGATCCTAGGATGCTTTCCTGAAAGATCTCTGCATGTACGGAGTCATTGTAGAATAGGAGTAAGGGGACGAACTCGACCTCGATTGAGCTCGCTGTTTCATGATATTGAGGTGATTAGGTTGTTGGGAATAGATTAGGTCACTTAAGGTATTTGACCTCGGACTACTATCACTACAGTATCCTTGGTAGCTCGTGATTAATTTCTCTTTATACTTTATTTTGGAAAAGCATTAAAAAGAATCAAAGCAATTTGAAAGGGAATAGAAGGGTTCCATTCTTGATGCCTTCTTTTATATTTTGCAATTTTACTAATAAAAGTTACCACATTTTCATTAATTGTCATTTTATATTTTGGATTTAGTAATTAATCTTTATAATTATAAAGCAAAGCAAAACCCCAACTTTAATATAGGACTTTCAATTGGCAATCAGGGAACAGATCGAAGAAATAACTCTAGTTGTTCTGAATAAGCTAGAAATAAAGAAAATTTGAGCTGGAAATATGCGACATCATCAAGATTCGCTTCATTTAGTGGAGTTTATTCTGTTAAGAAGGCTGTCTCACTGCTAGATATTGAGCAGGGAGTGTTGGACAGCAGTCTATGCTAGGCCATATGGAAATATGATAATAGTAGAGTTTATTAATCATTAATTAAAATTTAAAAAATATTATATGATATATAATTATTAAAAAAATAAAATACTTATTATTTTTTAATAATTTAAGTTTTTTAAATTTTTTATAATTATTAAAATATTATAAATTATGATATAACTTAATTATATATGAAATTGGGTTTTAATAGATAATTTTGTAATTATATTAAATACTAAATATTGGTTTTAAAACCATGACTAAAAAGCTCCTCAATGAGAAAAAGTGCATAATCAAACACAACAATAGACACGGCCCACACCGCCTGATATAATAAAAACTTTGAAAAGATAAATTCAAACGGGTCGAATCTTGGGTCGGCTCCTGGGCCACAGAAAACATAGGTAGAGTCGGCTCCACGATATTTCCCCGAAAGAAAAAGGTACACCTCGACACAACTTTAGTCCTTTAATTAGTCTGCAACTGCAAATTTGTCCTCAACTTCTGATTTTTTTTTTTTTTATTGGGCAGGATAGATTCCTTTGCTTGTTGTAATTGTAATTTTCTTAAAAAATTATTATGGAACACAAACTGCAATTACTCTTATTTTACGATCCATTGCAGTTTACTACTAAATAGCTGTCTCAAATTTTTAAACGGACAATTAATTTTGTAAGGAGGGAGTGATAAAAAGTGCAGGATGGATTGCACTTTTTGTTTTTTGAAATAATTAATTTATCTTCAAATTTTTATTGTTTGTACCCCAAAACAAAAAACTTTCTATTGTTGCTGCATTGCAATTTGCAAGGAAATTTCAATTCATGGTCCAAAAATCAATATATATCAACATTTTTAATCAAGTGTATGATCACATACATGCATCAACTTTAAAAACACTACTTAATTAATTTATGCGAGGTTTTTCTATCTATATATATTCTTTTATCAGAAATCACTATAAAAGGATACAAAAAAAAACTTTGAAATTAATCAGCTCAATCACACTGTCACTTTTTACTTGGAAAAGATTTTTTTTTTTTTTCCCGAAGGAGTTATATTTCATTCTTTCCAGAACTCACATTTACTTGAAAAGAAAATGGACTCCTAAGCCCAATGGAGCTTTAGTCGATTAATTTAGGCCCATTGACCTTTCTTCGAAGCCCATAAAACATCTTCTAACCTAAACAAACCCATCAATCACCAATCTATTATTCCAGGCCCATTCATTTTTTCTTTTTTCTGAGTCCTTAAAACATAACCTAAACAAACCCAAAATAATTTCCCCCCGTTCATTTTAAGGCCCAATAGTCGACTTTTAAATTTTGCATAACAAACCTAAACCTAAATTCTATTAGTAAGTTCTCTCAGGAGAGAGTAGTCTCGATATGGGGGAAAATGAAAAAAACTAATTCGTGAATACTTGGAGAGAACTCCTTTTTCTTTGTTCTTGTAGTAAATGACAATTCTAAACTAGTCTTTCTGTAAAATGTTCTTTTCTTAATTGTGGATTTTACTTGGTTTTGGGGAAGAGGGAAAAAAATGTTGTCTGGCATTGTTGGAGAGTTACTTTTTGTTTTTACATACAGAAAATCGTGCATCTTAGGGTTCAATTTCCATGGACTTGAAAGTTGAAACTGTTGTTGCAGGAAATGACACATAGAGGATGGGGATTTTTACCATGAAAAAAATAACTCAATAGTTAAGAGTTTAAGATTTTAATATTTTAAATTGAGGATTTTAAGTTTAAATTTTGAGGTGGATGAATAGAGATTCGAGAAAAGGAGAGAATTATTCTTTTTTATATAACCTATTATCATCAAATGTATTAAAAAAAAAAAAAACAGGATTATTAGCCAGTTATTTTACTGACTTCATTCAGTTGTGGTCTATTCTACTCATAAAGAATAAACATCTGGGAGACATGCTTGGATCAATTTTCTCAAAACAAACCCAGGCAGCCCATTAAAGATCTTATAGTTACTCAACCCCATATGTTCTGAGTGAATGTTTTACACATCCTCAGAGATAATTTCATTAATTACCTCGTATGCTTTATTCACACCCATGACACCATGGCTTTAGATTTGTAGAATCTCTTAACTAACTTGTACCATCTGATTTGTTGTCTAATATTAGCACTGTTGAGGATCAATTTGAAGTGTGCTCCATCTATTGTTTCTGTCCTTGGGTGTCGCTTCGTTTGCATTTCTTATATGGGACACAAGCAAGCGTGATAACTACTTCAGGAGTCTATTTATCTTCTCAATGCTTTTGATAATAGAGTTGCATTTTAGAATCCTACACGGGTCCAATAAAAGGGGTTTGTTGAAACAAGATCGGTTGCAGGAGCAAACAATTTTAGCAAGGATTTTCCTTTTGGCAAAAATTTTAGCATCACTTCTTACACGTTCTTCAATGGTGCTCGGTGTTGAAACCAAGCAGATGGTGAGTGCTGTGAGAGAAGCTCCAAATTCTTGGAATAAAACCAGGGCAGTGACGGTAATAATTGTAAAAACAACAATTTCAACAAAAGAAATAGATGCTCTCATTTGAACTGTCAGACTTATTTCCATATCCTTGAATTTTCGTACTTCTATATCCTTGAATTCTAAGGAGACAGTATAATATTAAGGGTCCACTTCCTCTATTCACTTCTTCCAATGAGACCATCCACTTCTTCCAGTTAAACTATGCTTGGAAATTGCAGGTGAGAATCTAATCAAAAAATTTTTTTTATTTAAAAGAAGAGAAAATATCGCTTATGAAATTTGTATATACAATTCATGAAAAGGTGATATTACTTAACAAAAGATTTCGACCACCAAACTGGAGTGTAAAGATCGAGAACCTTATCAACTTACGCCATAGCAGCTAAGCGAGTAGGGAATGCCATGCACTCTTAATTTGTTTCAAACACTCAAAAAGAAGTTGTCCGAATAACCCTTACATGTTTGACTCCACTTAATTTTCAAATAAACACATACACACTGCATACGGAAGCTATGATCTAATCATGGTCAAAGCTTACTAAATTCATGTGGAAATATTCAATTGGGTATGATCAGTCATGTTGTGTGCTAACTGCTAAGAAAGTGAGAAACTTCTGGAAGGCTGAATCGTCTACGAAATAACGAAGGAACTGTAACCACAACTCTTCTCCCTCCGTTACATCATCAACTCAGTCATGCAGACGTATGCGCCAACGTCAGCTGCGCAGCTTCATTCCACAATGTCCACACTAGACACTACAAGTAATATTTTATTTTTAATTGAAGGACGTTTCTACCTTATGCTTCTGTTTGATATATTTATTGTATTTATTATTATTAATTTATATAAAATATTATAAAAATTAAATTTATTTTTAATTTATTTTAAAAATTAAAATATTTTATTTTTTTCAATT